GCTCTATGGGAACTGACTGGGGAACTCACTTTTCTGGTGTCTCATCTCCTATCACACCTTTATCCCAGTATCTTTGTCTGTCTGATCTATCAGACCTAACTAACAGCCCCATCTAACCCACTATCTCTGCCTCCCTGCTCCACCAGAGTTGACCACTTCACCCATCTAGCTCAGTATCCCTGCCTGCCCATCACAATGGATCTGGCAGAGGTCCACTTATTAAACTATACTTACCTTCCTACCACACCAGATCTGACTATTAGCTCTTCTAGCTCTGTATCTCTGTTGCCCTGCCATGTCAGATCTGGCCAGTGGGCCCTTCCGATCCAGTATCTCCACCTCAATGTCACATCAGCTCAAACCAATGCCTCTCTAACCTAGTACCACCTCCCCTTCCCACATCAAACCAGTGTGCTCAGCTAGTCCAGTATTCTCCCCTTCATGCCACAATGGGCCCATCTAACCAGGCCTCCTGTCTCCACTAGCTTCTGATGCCAGCTGCCCTATAACACATCAACTAACTCATACTCTGCCTTGGAAAGAGAAATTCCTTTGCCTTCGTCTGACTGGGACTGACATATGCCCTGAAATCCAGAGCTTGATGGTCCCCTTCCAAGCAGTTTGATACATGGCCTGACCATCCCTCGTATAGGTAGACCCACTGCTGCTGCGGGGGGGCCATGGAGCTGGAAAATACGTGGACAAGCCAGTTCTGGGGATCAGCCTAGGCAAACCCCTCCCAGAATCCCTACAGTGCAGCAGGCTGGACTGGTTTTGGTGGGTGGGGGCCAGGGAGCAAGCTCATCATGGCTCAGTCCCTCCCCACCCAGTTTTACTGCCTTCGCTGTCCCATAAATTAAAGGCATGACTGGGAGGGGGCTGGGCTCTGAGCCATTCTTACTGCTGGGAAGGCAGGTGGGAGGGAGGCTACTGCTGAAATCCTCCTCTCCCATTGCCCTGCTGTGGCTTTCCCATCTGAACTGCTCAATGTCCCTAGCACAGCAAAGGCCAGTAAATGACTGTATCTGCCCCTTTGGGACCAGGGTCTAATTGACTAGCAGGATCTGCTCCTCCATCTGCCATACATGGGCTGGACAGCTCCTTTAGGGGAGATAAGGGGTTGTAGAGGGAGACAAATAAGCTCTGATCAGCTCAACCTAGCAGCCAAGAACCACCCCAACACTCAAAGGCCATTGCTGTCTCAAAGACCCTGCCTGAGTGGCTCACATAGACAGAAATGGCTGTCTCCCATGAACCCATCAGCATGCCACATGCTCTCCAACAAAATTCTATGGACTTCCCCGATGCTGCCCAACATTGAATAGCTTCCTCTAGTTCTACTTCTGTGCTACACTATCAGACCTTGGACAAGCCTCTACTAGGGGCCATGCTGAAGACTGTGCTGGGCCATGCTACTCCTGGGGTTCCTCTTTGAATGTCCTGAGCAGATGATCCACAGTGTCCCCTTCAGGTGAATGGAAGGTATCAGTGACACTTCACTCTGTCTCAGCATCATGCCACAGGGAGGCCACGGCCCTAGGCCAAAACATCTGCTGGGGCACAGACAATGGATGGCAACCAGGCCAGCAGCCACAGGCATGGCAGATGCCCAGTCCAACTCCCATTGGGTTCACAGGATCAAACCCAGAGACCATGGGTATAAATGTTTGGATCCAGATATAAACTCACTCAAAATTCAACAGGATTATGGGTTTGAAAGAGACAGACTATATCTGGTATCCTGGATAGAAACCCTGTTCCCCCAGGCATGATTCTGGGGATGGGACACAGTGAACCTAGATCTAAATCAACACAGCTTTTGCTACCTACATAAATGGCCACCCCTACTGTGGTCCATTACTAGCAGGACTGTAGCACAGTCTCTGTGTGACCAGCCTAGAGAGAGGCAGAGCATGATGCTGACTTTACCCAGGCTTGGAAGGGTTTGGATTTTCACTGGGGATTGTGAATAGTCACCAATTTCATCTTCTACCCAGAAAGTCATCTTCCTGAAATTTACAAGGAGGGAAATTTAAAAATCGAAGGGGCCCACACTGATTCCCAATATTAGCAGGGGTGAATATGTTCCCCAGTGTTTTGCACAGGCAGGCATCTCTCATCTCCTTTTGGTCCCTGCTCTGCCTTGCAGCAATCCAGAAGAGGATTTTATTTCTGGTTGGTGCATCTATTGCTGCACTGGTGGCGTTTGCTCTGAATTTGTTATGTACCTCGGTTGCTTCAGTCACCGGTAAAAACCTTAAATGGACAGTAATCTTAAGGTGTTTATGATTCTTTGGGCTATTAAGTGAATACACAGGGAATCTGGCTCAAACAACTGTCAGACTTGACTGAGGGGTGAGAAGCCCCTGTGCTCGCTTGTCAAGGAAACTGTGCTAGAGAGTGGAGAACCGTTCTTACAGCCTTACACAATGACTCCCCTCTGGCTCAGCCTCGCTGCCTCCCACTGCTAGAGAGAGCACACAACCCCTTTGCAAATTGCCCAACCTTCCCCAACTTATGTTGTCAACAAGTCTCAAGACAACAGTGTTCAGACCCCAGCTCAGGCAGGGCTGGAGACAGCGACTGGTCCTTGGGACCATTACGAAGCACAACTGGTCAGTCAGCCCACCCCAGGTACACACTGCATGAGCGTCAGCTCTGTTTTCACCCTCCTGACTGGCAAAGCCTGGCTTCACCTTAATAATAACAATAATAATAATAATTAATAATTAATAATAATAAAATAGTCTAAAATAAAGTGTTAGCTCATACTCTGATGGTCCTGAAGATCTCTCCCCAACTCTATTAAGATCCAGTCACTCCTGAATTTAAAACCTGTTCAGTCTCCAAATTCAGGTCTGCAATGGAATCACATTCCCCCAGTGATGCGATGGTTCAAACTATGATATCTGGCTCAAAGTATATCTCCAGGGCCAGATTCCCAGCTAACACAATCCACAGAGTAGCACCAACTGACACCAGCTGCAGACCTTCCTGCAAGATTTGGAATTTAGACCCATCTGTGTTTTATTAAGACTTCACCCCAAATCTCACCCCCAAAGGCCCACCCTCCCCCCTCATCTCACATCCCTGGATTCTGCCCTTCCCCCATTACATTGCTATGGGCAGAAAAGGCAGGTGCATTTGCTGGAAGGTGGTGTGGATGTCTAGAACAAAGATCATGGTAGGAAACACCCATGACTTAATTTAAAAAATAAGAAGTCAAGTCAGAGGATGAGAGAGGGGGAAAACAACATCTCCTTGTCTCCTTCGTGGTGAACTCCTGGCTTGATTAACCCTTCCACACAGGACCAGGGGGAAGGAAAAGAAAGTCAAGGGATGTTTCCCAACCCAAGGGTATCAGCTTCCCCATCAGAAATAATCTACGCATTCAATAAATACAGCTGGAGTGCAAGGTACAGGCTTAGAGAAACCAGGATTCATCTTCCAGTGCAAAACAAAAACTCCTTGCCTGGGTTGGGGAGAGAGATAGATGGTGCCCAGCCATTCCCCTCCCTCCCCGGCCCCAGAGGATTGGGCCATAGGATCGGAATCCTGCTGCTGCCTGCTCCACGGGCTTCCTGGTGCAACCATTCACCTCCCCCTCACCCGCGTGAGCTCCCCCAGGGGAGAGCGAGTGACAGCCTGGAGAGGGGAGGGTGTGGGAAAGGAGCAGGTGTGTGCATTGGGCAATTGCTCAAAGACCAGCCCATTGTGCAATTCACCCAACTCACCCCAGGGGCTTCCCCCCATCCCTGCCCCACAGCGACACTCCCCATGCCCAGATGATTCGTCACCACTTCTGCCCTGTCCCTGAGGAAGACTCAGACGGCTGTCTTTCCACTACAAGATGGCCTCCACCCCTCTGGCTGAATCCTATGATGTCCCTGGATGCTTGGAGGTGGGGGGAGAGTTTGGATCCACCCGCCCAGTTCTCTGGCTTCACCCCCATCCCTGCCTGCAGAAGATTTCTTCACACCAACCTTGACTGAAGTCATCAATCCCTTACCACCACTCCCCATGGTTGTTCCTGGGGTCCCCCCAAAATAGCCACAAGCAGTAGAGGGCAAAAATAGCATAGCACAGCCTATGGAAGCTTCCATCAAGCCATGGAAGTCCCCTCCAGTCCCCAGCTCCAGGGGCCTCCCTTGAGGGTAAGCTGTTTTTAACGAGCTGTTCCCAAGCCATTGTTGTTTGATTCTCCCCTTTCGCCCCAGACGTGTCACGGCAGGTCCTGCAAGAGGGAAGGGCATTAGCTGCTTCAGGTCCTGATTGATGTTCCTTCCAAACAACCTCCCTTGTGCCAAAAGTTGTAGCAGCACAAAATACAGGGAGGCCAAAAGGTTTCTGGAGTGTGGAAGCTTCCATGGCCCGAGAGAGGGAGAGAGAGAGAAAGAAAGAGAGAGAGGAGTGAAACCACCTCAGGGCAGAAGCCAGCTTCTGTGATCTGCCCAGGCAGGGTGGCATGGAACAAATGGGAAGTTGTGAAAGGATCAGCAGGGTCATTTCATCTGTATGTGTACCTGGGGAGGGAAAGAAAAGAGGTGATAGGGGACAGGTGATAGGTGAAGGAGGGTGACAAGGGAATGGTAGGGGAGGGCTGAGATGAGAACACCTGCCTTTTCTGCAAGCTAAGCCTGACTCGCAAATCCCCAGCTTTGGATTCTGACCCCTCTCCTATGTGCAGGGGAAGGGATGTATTAAGATCTGGAGCCTGTGGCCAAGGACTTGTATGAAGGAGACATCCCTCCACCCACTGCTTTGCTGGGGCCCCTTTTTGCTGCCCATCAGCACAGTCCCCCAACTGAGATCCTTCAAGTAAGAATGATGCCCTCCCATCCAGCCTCGCCCTTACCCACCCTCCAGGATCCAGTCTGGAGACCAGCCCCAAAGCTTCACTCTATTGGATCAGAGGGTGGACCCTCCCTGAAATTCCCCCTCCACCACCCCCATGGGAGGGAGAGGCCACCCACCCCACCTACCGCATCGTGACAGGTTCCTTTTTCCCCAATAGAATAAATAGCCACTTTCTCGGAGGGGACAGCCATGTACAACCAGTCCCATGTACAACCAGCTGGAAGGTAAGGTAGCAGGTAGGGAGCACCCCTTACATGGCACCAGAGCAGGGCAGGGACGTCTTGGTGAGGGCAGGGGCTCAGTTGGGCTGGGTGAGGGTGCTGGAGCCTCCGGCATCGGGCTCTCGCTTCCCTTTCCCTGGAAGGTCTGCCCCACCCTTCCCCTCTCCTTCTGCCCCCTCCTTGGTGCCTTCATGTGTCTTCATATGTTTGCTGAGGTGGTCGCTCCTCATGAAGACCCGGCTGCACACGGGGCAGGTGAACTTCTTGGTGCCTGTGTGGGTCTGGAGGTGTCTCTGGAGCTCATCAGACCGGGTGAAGCGCTTGCCGCAGAAGAGCCAGTTGCAGACAAAGGGGCGGTCCCCACTGTGCCACCTCAGGTGGGCCTTCAGGTGGGACGTCTTGGCATAAGCCTTGCCACATCCAGGAATGTGGCAGTTGTGAAGGTGCTTCTTCTTGGCACTGTCTGGGCACGGTCCTACCCTCTCAGCTTCCTGGCAGTTTGGGCAGCGGCACACAGCCTGACCAGAGCTCCGTGGCATGGATCGTCTTGAGCTCTTCGGCCTAGCAGTGCTGTCCATGGCCTGCTCGAGAACATGGGGATCCTGCGGAGATTCAAGCTGTTTGACCCCTTCCTGGCCCATCAGGTGCTGGGCAGAGGGCAAAAGGTGGTGAGGCGGGCCGCAGAGCTGGTGCTCGGTGGAGCCATAGCCCCCCAGTGCTGGCTGGAGTCCCCCCGTGTGGCCTGGCGCTTGGAGGCCACCTTGACCATGTTGAAGGTCCATCCAGCTGGATCCAGCATGAAGGTCCCACCAGGGGTTCACACTGCTGTCCTCAGCAGCATTGCTGGGGTGTGAGGGCCTGAACCAGGGCTCGTAGTGGTGAGCCATTTCAGGAGGTGTCTGCAGGAGCTTGGAGTAAGAGCTGGGAGCCAGCGGGTTGTCACTGTCCAAGTCTATCTGCGAAGAGCCATGCAGGTCATAGCTAGGGGTGGCTGAGAACTCTACGTCAGGGACCACCAAGGGCAGGTGTGGGAGCTCTGGGGGCTGGAGAGAGGAAAAGTCGCCTTCTGCCTCGGAGCTGGCGTGAGGCTGGTAAGTCTGCAGTGGCTGCAGGTCCAGGTGGGTGGGGGAGGCACAAGGTGTGTCCGAGTGCTGATTGCCAAGAGAGCCACAGACAGCTGTTAGCATTGCCAGACTCCAAAGCAGCAAGGCAGCCCAGACAGACCTGGAGGGAGGAGACAAATACTGTGAGAACCTCACACGTTTCCCTTCCTTCAATATTAAACCAGTGCCTTCTTTCCTTGGAACGGACCAAAGTTCCCCTTTCCCCCTGGGTCCCAGAGATGAGTTGGAGCCACAGAGTTCACATCAAGACCACTTGTTCATCACAGGGCTGAGATACTATGGAGTCCCTCTCTGCCCAGAGCACCTTCCAAGGCACAAGGAGTCAAATGCATGCCTAACCTTGCTCTCGTGAATTCAGCAGATCTATTCCAGGGACAAATTTTGCCTGGAAGTGCTCCTGTCTTACATCAACTGCACTGAAGAGGCACAGACTGTGCTGCAGTAACAATACTTAGCTCTCTCACAGCTCTTTTCATCCATAAATCTCCAAGCACTTTACAAAAAGGAATTCCTGGTCATTATCCCGATGTTACAGGTGGGGAAAATGAAGCAGAGCACTTATGTGACTTACCCAAAGTCTCCCAAGTCCTAGCCCATTAGGTCACCCACCTTCCTTGCTATCCTGCCCCGCTGGGCTAATTGTGGGGAGTCAATGTCATCAGGTCAGGAGAACATGGTGACACCCCACCAGCTGCCCTTAACTGGTTGGATGCAGCTCTCAATCCCTTAATATACATGGGGTTTACTTCCTATAGCGGGGTCTCCTGAAAGAGGAGAACCAACTTATGCCAATAGATCACCCTCTCTCCCTGTTAACAGCATGAACTACTGTCTCAGGCCTTGGCTGTCCTGGGGTAGCACCTATAAGCTGTTGTCACTGGTTTCATGGGCCAGCCAAGCAGCCAGGATGGCTCGGAAGGTATTTTAGAGGCTCCTACAAAGTCAGGGGTAGGCTGTTCTGTGGAAGGGGGATTTAAATATAGTTTATTCTCCCTTCCTAAAAGGCGTTTGGAGACAGGCCCCTCTAATAGGCAGCTTCTGGGAAGTAGATTACAGTAATTACAGTCTCCTCATCTCTGTGGCTGGATGTGACTTGAGCTGCTCTGATCTGGGCCTGGGGTGGCAGGAGTGTGGGGAGACCTGGCTGGGTATTTATAGCCTTGTTCTCATGGCTCTGAAAAGGGCTCTGGAACAGATCAGCATCATCATACGATGACAGGCTGAGAGCCCTGGGGCTCTTTAGCCTGAAAAAGCGCAGGCTCAGGGGTGATCTGATGGCCACCTACAAGTTTATCAGGGGTGACCACCAGCATCTGGGGGAACGTTTGTGCACCAGAGCGCCCCAAGGGATGACGAGGTCGAATGGTCACAAACTACTTCAAGATCGTTTCAGGCTGGACATAAGGAAGAACTTCTTTACTGTCCGAGGCCCCAAGGTCTGGAACAGCCTGCCACCGGAGGTGGTTCAAGCGCCTTCATTGAACACCTTCAAGATGAAACTGGATGCTTATCTTGCTGGGATCCTATGACCCCAGCTGACTTCCTGCCCTTTGGGCGGGGGGCTGGACTCGATGATCTTCCGAGGTCCCTTCCAGCCCTGATGTCTATGAAATCTATGAAAAAAAATTTAGCAGCACCTCAGGCCTAGCCCCATGGGAGCAGCATGTAGGCATTGGCTGGTCAAGGGTGATCAACCCTAGGAGATGGCCCACGGTAGCATTTTGTCCCTGGGATTGGCCCATGCACAATGTACCAAAGCAAGCCAAGCTTTGTTTCCAATCCCCAACTCCATTGGGCCCCTGGCTGGTCAGACAACACTGTAAATGAAAGGGAGGTGCAAGGCACTTCACACTGTCATTATGGTGACTGTGTGCAAGCACAGCCACTGCTTGGGACACAACAGCTGGTACCTCTAGCATCTCCTGGTATAAACTAGGCCAGCATCCTTTCAGTGGTAAAATCTGTGGTCATTGATTGCCATGGGAGTTGGGCACTGACACAGGAATTAGATACCCAAGTGCCTTTGAGGATATGACACCAGTGTCTTAGGCAGGGCCAGCCTTACGGGTGAGTGATACGGGCAACCCCCAAGGGTGCCATGGTCAAGGGGGTGCCACACACACACACCCCCCACCTCTGCCTCCTTGCCAGACTGTGCCCCATGCCCCTGCCCACCTGCCTCTGCCTCTCCCCCTACCTGCAGCACTGGAGGAGGTGGTGGTGGAAGCTGGCCAGCAGCGGGGTTCGGCAATGATGAGGAAACGCCACTACCCACTGGACTGGGCAACGCAAGTGGGCTGTGAGCAGTGCCCACCACCCCTCAACCGTGACTGGCTCTACAGGTCCTATGGCTCTACAGGCCAGCAGCACCTGCATCTCATGTTCCTGCTGCTCATTATCATGGGCATCTGCCTGGCACTGCTCACCTTCTTCTTTGCCTCAGGACTGGTGAAAAATGAGTCTCCCCTCACCCTTCTCCCCCTGCCTTACTTGGCCACCACCAGGGCATGCCTTGGGGAAGCAAGACTCCTGATCCAGCCCAGCAGCACCTCTCAGACTTTTATCTCTGAAATTTCACTAATACTACTACATTCTTAAACTCAAAGAAAGGGCACCAAAATACAAGATTGCCTAGGGCTCCATTTTCCCTAAGGCTGGGCCTGGAAGCCATCATGGCATTTCACCTTTCTCTACCACTTGTAAGGAAACCACCATGCAACTTTCTGCCAGAACTGCTGTAAGCCCACAGACATGCAACATCTAGGTGCAGCCTGCAACACAATATGCAGGGCCGGGATGCTGATCCTAGGGTGCAGCCTCCTCCCTGTCCCCCCTTTTCCTTGTGACAACTAATGCCATAGTGTGTAAACACAGCACCTCCTGGTAGGAGACACCATGTGTAGTTCAACTTTTCTCTGTTGCCCGTGGCATGGTGGCACCTTATTCTTCTCTTGCCAGTGCAGGTGTAGATCAGCAGCATTCCAGTGGCATGAACAAGGACCCGGTCCTTGGGCAAGGGCGCAGCTCTCTCCAATAGCAAAGAGCTGGCTCTCATTACACTCCTATCCAAGCACCTCAGATCTTTAATACATTCAGACCCAGTGGGGTAGGGAAGGGCTGTTATCCCATTTTACGGGTCAGGAACTGAGGCACAGAGAGGCTAAGTATCTCATCTAAGGTCATACGGGGAATTTGTGGCAGAAAAAGGAACTGACCCCAGGTCTCCCAAGCCCCAGGCTAATACCTGGATCATCCTTCCTCCCATTGTCTCCACTCAGACCCTTCCTAGAGGAGCATGAGGCAGAGTGGTGGCTTTCACTCCCATAGGAGATGTTCTATAGTGCACTTTGTCTGTGCTGCTACCCCAGAGACACAGGACTGGGCATCTGGTTGCCTTGGGAGGTCTGTAGAGGCAGGGCAGAGGTTTGGAATTGTCTGACGCCAGCACTCAACACCATCACGAACCAATGAACCCTGCTCCCTTCCCACAGATCCCTGTGACCCTCCTTGTTTCCCTCTCTGCAGCAGCTCCTGCATAGGGGCCTGCTCTGCTATAGCAGCATTACTATGAAATACAATATGGCATGAACAAACCCAAAAGACACACTGTCCATTACACAGCTGGTTCTGAGCAGCTAGGCTTGGACCAACAGGGCAGCATGAGGTCTTCACAACAACTCCAGGGTAACAGATGAGGCAGATACTGGCATGGGGAACTTAGGGGGCTAATTGAATGCTCTGCACATCTGGTGCAGCCATTTGATGCATCTTTTCTCTAGGCCTTGCTGGATTTTTACTTTTTTTTGTAGGCCCTAGGGTGCCAGGACCAGAGTAACCACCAGGGACAAAGCAAAAATCCCAGGCAGCCCAGAGGCCATTTCTAGCCACCCCAAAGCACCCTCATCGCCCCAGCATATACAAGGCCAGCTCCCTTCAGCAGCTCACCTTGGTTCAGTTTTACTGCCCCTAGCCCTGCTCTACTTTGCTTTGCAGAGGCTGAGATTGGGGTGCGGGGCCTCGGCTATACATGATGGGATCCCCATTCCTTTCCCAGGAGCCTGTGACTCATGCTGCCGAGCTGTGGAAACCCTGTTGGCAGGGCGCCCCACCCCAATGTTGAAATCCACCTGCCAGGACTGGCTCCCCTGCCCTCAACTTCCCATCCCTCCTCTTTGGGGTTCAGCTCTGGCACCACTTTAGTGGCCATCTCCATCCAGCCCATGTGTCTGGATACCGCCTGCATCTAGATGCCCCATACCCAGCCTGGCAGCTCTCAGTTCAGCTGCCTCCACATCCACCCCTGGGCCCTCTGCTAAGTCACATTTCTGCTGTAGAGAGGGAGGGTTTTTCCCCCTTCTGTTGCTGCACACAGACAGGGGAAACCAAAGAACAGGTCACCGCATACACAGCATTAAACACACTGCTGCAAACAGAGTGACTCCCTTCTGCTGCCTCTATCCCTTCTCTCTTTTCTGGTTATCACCATTATGGTCAGGGTGCCTGATCCCCAAGCAGCCCTCTTGAGCATCTGATATCACAACAGCAGGCAGCAGCTTTTAGACAGGGTATGGATTTTGAGCTGATGGCCATCTTTCCCATCCTGCTAATGACCACTCACAACCACGCACTGTACAAGAGTGACCCAACACCAAAACCATTTCCCCAGCACCCAAAGTAACACAGGTCAGCAACCAAGGGAAAGAACAAGTTCTGTCCACTTTATTTGCTCCTCAGCCCTGGCCTGGAACCTCTTCCCCAGCCCCACTGTGCCCTGCATTGTGATAGAAGTGTGTGATCAAAGATAAACACTACTCTTGACATAAAATAGGAGCATGGGAGGCAGAGGAAGCCGACAGTGCTGAAACAGGGGGAAACAGGGGGAAATTGGCATTAGAGGGTGTCTCAGGGAGAGGATGAATGCAAAGGAGGGGTCAGTTTGCCTTGACCTCCAGGTAGACCAACATCTAGAACAGAGACCCAGGTGTGAACAAGTCCAGAAAAGACATAGTGACATTAAAACCGTGGACCTCCACAGAGCCAATGGGAGGTCCTGGTTCCATGATTAAAGGTTGTCACCCACAAAGCCCATCAGAGAGGAAGACCAGCGGGTTTTAATGAAATATCTGAGAGGTCTGACAGCACTGAGATGGGGAGCTGGGAAAGACCAGTGGTGCTGGCAGGATATGGGCAGAAAGGGAGTTCACAGCAGGGATGAGGAATAAAGTCCTGGACTAGGAGCAAGGGGACATCATCAGCTCAAAATCCATACCCTGTCTAAAAGCTGCTGCCTGTTGTTGTGATATCAGATGCCCAAGTGGGCTGCTTGGGAATCAGGCACCCTGGCCATAAGGGTGATAACCAGAAAAGAGAGAAGGGATAGAGGCAGCAGAAGGGAGTCAGTCTGTTTGCAGCAGTGTGTTTAATGCTGTGTATGCGGTGACCTGTTCTCCGGTTTCCCCTGTCTGTTTGTGTGCAGCAACAGAAGGGGGGAAAACCCTCCCTCTCTACAGCAGAAATGTGACTTAGCAGAGGGCCCAGGCAGGCCCAAAGCTGGAAAACATTTTTATTTCACCTTCAGAGAAAGGTGACCCTTGCCCAGCCGAGCAAAGAGGTCCTTGCAAGTGCTGAAATCTGAACACCACATTAGAACCAGCAGCCTCCCACCCCACAAACACCAGTAGGAGTTCAGCGCTGAGTCCCATCCTCCCTGGGGACTGTTTTGGGTGTAAACTGGCTGAATGCGAATGCTGAATCCCCTATAATGTAAGGAAGTTGGGGGCTGAATTCGTATCCAGAGGGCCTCCCTCCCTCTCCATCTCCAAGTTATGACTATGCTTAGGTTCCTGAATGTGTGGGAAACATCCTCACCACCTCAGGCCTTGTGTACACAGGAAAATAGCTATTGCAGGATAGCTCGTGTTGTGGACACCGTTGGCTAGCACAAGACGTGTATCTACACTGAGGCTGGGATTGCAGATGGACAGACACACTCCCCTATATAGGACACCAAAAAGCAGTGAGGATGCACTAGCACCACTTCACAGGCTATACCAACACCCTGAGCCAGCCGACACTGATATCCACGTCCCCTGTGTCTACCCTGATGAGGTAGATTCCAGCCAGCCCAGCCATGCTCACCCCTGTTGTGGTAGTACAGACATACTCCCAAATGCCCTTGTGAGTCGTGCCCCCTTTGAAAGCACATGATTCTACTCCCCGCACAGAACCAGAGTATCCACACAGGGAGTTAGCATAGGATAGCTCTTCTACTTTAAATTCATGCCGCCACCCCCCCAGCCTGTTTTGTCTGAGCTTCCCGCAGCCACTTTGACTCCACACCCAGTGCTGCCACAAACCAGGTTGCAACCATGTCATGCACTGGGGTTGGGAGGGTGGGGGGTGGCCAGAATCATCAGCTGTATTATCTCAGCTACCAGAAGGATTTAGAGAGTAAGCCTCTGTCCAGTGCAGGCAGGGGAGCTGAGCTTTAATCACTCTGGCCCCGGCCCAGCTGACAGCAGCTTCTGAACGGACCTAGAATTAGGTCAGACAGGTCCCTGGGATGCAGGGGCTGAATGAAGTAGATCTGTTGGAAGAAGAAGTTCCATGGAGCAGCGACCTGGGCAGGGAAGACAACGATGCCTGGGACAAGCCACAGGGAGCTAATCAAGGAGCCAGTTGGAAAGGTATCCAGGGGCCCTGATGGGATGGGAGCTAACTCCTGGCTTCCCTAGCAGATCCAGCTGCTGGTGAGGAGGGGTGAGGAAAGGATTAATAACCAATCAGCTAGGGAGATAAAGCAGTCATTCCCCTAGCACTGAGAACCAGGGCCTTCCTCAGTTAGTGCACAGCCTAAGGCCTGATCCTGAGTGGGGTTGAAGATCCTCAGCTTTCAGTGAAGCCAGGAACCCCCCAAACTACTACTAGCTTCACTAGGTCCACTTATCCCTGTTGCAGCTGTCTGGGGAGCAGTGGGGATATGAGAAGATATGGTCTCAACTGATCTTCACTCCCAGGGATTGGGCTGGGTCTGCAAACAGGGTATGTCTAACTCCATTCACTCTGCAAGGCATGAAGAGACCCAGGGTTGCAGCTGCCAGGGGGCTTTGAGCCCAGCCCTGCAGGAGATGCCTACAGA